TTTTGTATAAAATTTAAAACACTTTCGTCACTGCTAGTGATCACACTCGCGCGTTACAGTTTATTTTTAATTAAGATTTGAACTAAAGTAAACATTTTTATTGAGAAAAAAGCTATCGCCTGTTTATACTTCGAACGACCCATTGTTCATTTTCAGATAATTTTGAATACTCATGAACTGAGTGATCACCATCCGAACTATTTTCATTTTATTGGAGTGGGATGAATTATTCACATAGGGTTTAGGCGGAAACAAACCTCTTTTATTCTCGATTTTTTTTTTACTCGATACGAATGCTAATGACATCTTGAAATCACTTTTACTATTGGAAGTATGAGTCGCCATCTTGCGTTTTATTGTTTCCATTGTTTGTCTCACTCTGATGTTTGACTGTTAGGGTTTTTATTTTAATATAGTAATAAGTGGGTTAGGGAATTGGGCTTAGGGTGAGAGTTAGGGGTGTGGTCCTGTGAGTGACCGCAATAACCCAGGTTCGAATCCTGGTCACGACAATTTTCTTCCTTTTATTCTAAAATGAACGTTTTTTTAATATTCATTTTATCTTGAAATCATTTTCCCTAGGGGAGGATTAAACACTATCTTAGGTTTCATTATTTTTATTGTTTCACACCATCTTAGATGACCTTTATTTTTTCAAATTATGAAATAAAACACGCTCCTATAACCTACGCAATTTAACCCTAAACCAGGATTTATTCAACGCTTTTAATTTGTGTTTCCTTCCTACATCTCTTATACATTTCCTTCTAATTTTCAAGTGTGGATACTCTATTGTCCTAGAACCGGTATGGGTAGTTGCGTGATACTGTGTATCATTCATAAGAAACACTCGTATTTCGTCTATCCATTTTGGTTTCTAGAGTGCTTTTATTATTTTTAAATTTTCCTGCCAAAACGCTTCTCTCTCTATTCTTCTTCTTTTAGTACACACCATTCGCATTGACCGCAATCCCAGGAGAAATCGTAAAAGTCAGACATCATAATACTGACCAAGAGTTTATAGCGACAAGGTCTACCAGAACACTTTGACAGCTTGTCAATCCCTGTGTCTTACGATCGTACATCTCTTACAGATTGAGCAGTGCGTTATAATGCTCGTAAGATTCCTCCTCCTCCTGACTTTGTCATGTCACTAATTTGGTGCGATAACCGTTTTTTGGCGTCGTCTAAAGAACTCTTTTTTAACACACTTGGGCAAAGACATGAAAGAAAACCCTCAATGGGCTCCT